TAAATGCAATGATATGCTTGGGGAATAGCATACTCATAGTGTTTATGATGCCACTGTTTGCCACATGTGTGTTTTGTGTTTGTTATGTGAGTGTGACTAAATCTGGATTTCTCATGTTTAACCACCAGCTACTGCATACTGTTTTAGGTAAACATATACAGTCCTTCTGTTGTGTATGTGAACTTGTTTCTTCAAGAGTTCAGCAGAAGAATATGGATTTATAGTGTATATCTACGTAAGGGTTAGTGACATGACATTCTTTTTTTTTTCTTTGTATAGATATATGAAGTTATTAAAAATGTAATTCATACAAAATTGACTTGAATACAACCTTTCTCTCATAAATATGTTTTCAGTTTCTGAATTAAGAGCAATTTTTGATATTTTAGTGGTGCTTAAAATATAATAATAATAAAATTAAAAACTGCTTACTGTAGGTGGTGTAATTTAATGTATTGAAATAAATAAATAAATATATATATATATTTCAATTATATGTCAATCATCATTTATTTCATTTCAAGTAACATTTTTTTTTCTAAAACAGTTTTAGTAATTATTATTATTATTATTATTATTATTATTATTTCCATGTAATACTACTACACAATTGTAACACAGGGTATAATAATAATAATAATTGTTGTTGTTGTTATAATTATTATTCATTGTGTCAGCATTCTTATGATTGTCATTATTACAGAAAGAGGCATGTGGGGAAAACACGGTTCCGTCGGGCCCCAGCTGGAGGAGCCCGAGGAGCTGATGAAGATACGGCGCCCAGGTGAAGCCAAAACCACGCTTTAGCTCATGGCAGATAATCAATCAGCTCAGCATGAGAAACACCAGCCAGAGGAGCCTGACAGCTGCTGCTCTGAATCAACATAAAGCAGACCTCACATTCCTTAGGATTCAGTTTCCTTTTGTTGACAACTGATGAGGCCACCAGACAACATTACACACAGAATGATGAATTTAGATTCTTGCTCTGAGGGAACTTCCTTTAGAAAAAGATACATACTTAACAGGATGCAATGGAGGGATGCTACCAGACCTAAATCGGTCCGAGGAGTGAAAAGAGCCCTTGTTCGAAACCTTTTGATGCTAAGACTGTCTGAGGTTGTCTAATTGTTTTGTAGTTAGAGATCGTCCAAAAGGGACTCAGTGTGAAAGCAGATATTGAGTTTGCCTGTTGTTTTTGTTATTTGACACAGTATAGCTTAAATGGATAATTCAGAAGGGCTGACTGCTGCTAATTTATTTTCTCTCATTTTTCTTTCAGTTCTCTAAATGTGCAGAGAGGTCTTGGGTTTGGTGTGTTGCTCAAGAACAGAGAGGTTCTCTGTAACTTTCCATTGTATGGACGCTTAGCTGTTTATCTTCTCACACATTATTATGTGCTCACATTTATGCACATTCACATTCATCCATGCACACCAAAACAAGCCATTGATGTAAAGGCTCAACAGATGTAGTTGAGACTGAATACACAATAGAAGGTTATCGCTGATGTGCATATCATACTCGTCACCATCACAAGAATTATCTGATTGTGTTCCTTCAATAGAAACACCAGGATTGTTACTGGCTGAACTCTTATACAAGCACTTGGAAATTATTTAAAAGGGGCATCTGGGAACTGTCAGCATGTTTCTAAATACAAGTATTTATATCGAAATTCTCATGAGGGACCATGAGCCAGGTTTTAAGGATCAGGAGACAAATATGGTCAGGGCTCAAGAAGTATATCAAGTGGAAATCGGACAAGAATTCTGAAAGGAAATAAGAGCATGGACTGAGAAAGACTTTTTAAGGAATAAGCTATTGTTTGCTCTGGATGGCTAAGGAAATCTCTTCAGAGTGAAGCAGTTTCACAAAACTGTTTACTTTATTGTTCTAGTACTCGAGTGGTCTTGCAACAATATTTATGAGCCTCTGATGTTTTTGTCTGGGTCTTGTCATGCACTCAGGTATGTCTGCACTTGGATTAGTTGTCTCAGACATGAATGCAAGAACCTGATTTACACATGGACATGTCGTAGCAGCCTGTTATTTTCATGTTCCCTGTCAACTAAATTTCTATTTGATATTAGAGGAACATTGTTTCAGCATAATATACAATCAGTAATAACCAATGATGATCCAAATGGCTATGATTTTTCTCAGAATTGCCAAACATAAAAAAGACACAATTATGAGATCACAATTACCTTTTTTATTCTGTTATGGAAATAGGCTTCCATACAATCATGATTATTGCATTGTCCAACTTGTGAACTGGTCTTGTGTATATGTATATATTAGTTAGGTGTTTATCTTTTCATGGACTGATGGAACTTCCCAAATACAGTCTTGTCTCATTGTCAAAAAATTCTGGTCTCCTCCCTCTATAGGGTCTCAGGATGTGCTTGGGTTAGTAGGGTTTGATTATTGGGGGTTAGAGTTTTTGTACTGGATATATTTTACAAACCCTCTGCTGAACATTTTAGATGGCTTTTGTAAATAGTTAGGTTTGGGTCAAATATGGAGGAACCCAACTACTTGGTTAAAAATTTAATTTGACCAAAAGTTGGGTTGAAGCAACCCAGCATTTTTACTCTAAAATTAGCTTATGATTAAATTAATGATCATGGACTTTACCAGCATGTACTTAATTTAGCATGAATCATAACACAAATACATTAAAACTGCCTTTTCTTCATAATTTGAGAAATTACCCAAGAGTCCTGATACATCATATAGGATGTGTGTTGTGTTTGTTATGTCCGTTTAGTTTTATGAAGGCAAGTGTTTCTCACAAAAGCCTTTGTGTCCTGTAAATACTCCTGATGAATGATGGTGGTTTGGGTTTCAGTGGGCTTTGAAGTATGGCGTAATGCTACATGTGTTTGTGTTTTGCTCTTCCCTTCGTTCCTGACCTTCACTTTTTTGTTTAAAAGAAGGGACAGTGTATGTGAGAAAGAGAAGGGCATATGAAACAGAGTTAGGGAGGAGGGGAATAGGAAAAAGACTTTGTGGCTTGCATTGCCCTGAGGCCTCTCTCATCCTCCCACCCTGAAATCGCATGATACCAATGAACATGTTGCTCAGCCACAGTAGTTTTTATGATTCGTTTTTCTTGTAAGTACATCACTTAAATCTTATATCTCAATGATCCTGCAAAAGATAAGGGATGTTTACAGTTCCATAATAAAAAAAGTTTATAATGATAGTTCCGAATGCATAGCATAAAGAGATGCTCTCAGTAATACCAGTTTCTACATACATTTGAAATACTGGTATCAACAAGGTGTTTGATGGATCTCATGTTGTTTTCACTAATCTCCATTTTCAGCCAAATAAACAGAGCACAACCTGTGACCTCTATCCTTTAGTTGGCACTGGTTGGCAACTTGCGTGACCACAACTTGAGTGGAAAGTGACCTCCCACGTGGACACAAGGAAACAGATTACAGACACACTCCTGCTTTCAATTAAACCCTAGTAAGATGACAACTCACACATTTGTTTAAACAGTGAAAGGCTGGGGTTTTATAACCACAGAATCAGGCTAAATGCCCTCATGTAAGTTCGCTCAGTTCCTTATTGTTTTTGGAGACATAGTTTCAAGGTTTTGATTCTAACGACTCATTTTAAAGTAATAATTCACCCAAAAATGAAAATTCTGTCATTAATTACTCACCCTCATATCGTTTCAAACCCGTAAGACTTTCCTTCATCTTTGGAAAACAAATTAAGATATTTTTGATGAAATCCGAGAGCTTTCTGACCATCCATAAACAGCAACGCAACTATCACGTTCAAGAAACTGCAGCTTGTTTGCAAAGAGAGGAGCGCACACACATGCATTGTGGTATTGTCGTGAATGCATGTCAAATTCTGACACGGAAGAGAAGAAATTGTTGAATAAAATTGTTGTTTTTGTTTCCTTTGCGCACAAAAGTATTCTCGTAGCTTCATAAAATTACGGTTGAACCACTGATGTCACATGGACTATTTTAATGATGTCCTTACTATCTTTCTGGGCCTTGAACGTGCAGGGTCAGAAAGCTCTCGGATTTCTTCAACAATATCGTAATTTGTGTTCAGAAGATGAACAAAGGTCTTACCGGTTTGAAACGATATGAGAGTGAGAAATTATTGACAGAATTTTCATTTTTTGGGTGAACTATACCTTTAAGTGTACTTTATCACGTGATATTTTAAAATTGGATATGTACATTTTCAGGATGATATCTTGCCGTTAAAGAGGACAAGACATTATATTCTGATTTGTCATTCTAGCAGTATTCAAATAAGCATTGAGGTTGATCGGCAGCAAATTTCCTTTCAGTAACTGTTTTGGCTTTCGGCTCTTCTCGTTGTCATCACATCAGATGTGCCAACACATATGACTACTCACAGGATGTATGCTGTCAGAGGAATTACATTAGGTCAAAAAATGTCCACTAGCTATTGTATGTTGACCCAATACAGTGCTGCTGCCAAGTCTAAAAGTAGCCATCCTTGAATCCAAATTAAACTGAGAAGCTCAAATATTGTGTTTTTCTCATATAGCATGTTTTAAGTACTTAGACCTTTAGGCTTTTGTGTTTTTAGTAACCCAGACAGGCCTTTTAGGGCATGTTTATCCAGACGTGTTCCTATAAGGGATAAATATCTAAAACTATGAATGTCTAAAAATCTCTCTTAAGGACTGTTGGGAGTGATTTCACACCTTTTAACCCCAGCTTTTGCTGCACAATATTTGATGGTCGGTTTGTAAGGGGTGTGCAAAGCACTTTAACTGCAGTATATCAATTTCAGCAGGGTAAATCCTGCTCCTTGCTGCAGAATTCCAACTCTGATCAAACACACATGAATCAGCTTCCCTTTAAAATCATAACCAGGTGTGCTCGAGCTGGTCCACAACCAAACTCTGCAAAAAGGCCTGCTGAGTCTGAAAGTAATGCGTTCACTGTTTCACTTCTGCTTTCTTTTTCTGTCTTTCTCTTTCTCAGGGCGACCATATGTGGGCCACCATGCTGGGGCAGAGCGTGAAGCTTCAGCCGGTTTCCATCCAAAGCCTCTCAGAGCTGGAAAGAGCACGTCTGCAGGAGGTGGCCCTTTACCACTTGGAAAGAAGAGACCTAGACTTTAAGATCAGCATCCCTAGAGGTACACTTCCTTGTTGAAATAGCTTGTTTTGTGATGTCTGGTAATCATGCATGACAGAAGTAGTGCATAGATTTAAATACTAAGTGATAAATCGTTTTACATATGTGACCCTGGACCACAAAACCAGTCTTAAGTCGCTGGGGTGACCCTTATGACTGGTTTTGTGGTCCAGGGTCACATATAATAATCATATCTTGTCACAGTCTAGATATGATTATTTCAGACAGATGCTTATCGAATTCCCAAGAAGTCCATGCAAATATCACATCGCAGTCAATTCAGAGGTATTTCTGAGGGATTTCCGATAGTAAATCTAGCAGATAAGACTTCTGAGAGGTGAAATTTGTAAGATGGAGTACAGCAGTGCCGTACCAACAGAACATCTGAATTGTTGCACACCAGTGTTGGGGTCATGACCCAAAAATAGGTTTCAGGTCACTTCGCCATAGACAGCAAGAGAAAAAACAGCTCTGAATCCAATGAATAAAATGTAATCAACTATATTATCTTGCTATAAATAGACTTATCTCTCTATTATAGACACATCTTTTGTTTACGCCAGTCAAGGTATTTTAAAACAAATTCATCTGCCACTTGGTGGAGGCTGCCAAATTAGGATTGCGTGACATGTCCTTATTTCTGAAGTCCAAGAACAAAACTGTGTGAAATATAAGACAGTACAACTTAGCCCAGTATTTGTTCCATGCGTTTGCCTTCTGCTGACGTTTATGCAATTATAAATTTGTCATTCGTAATATTGTTGAGCCTTTGCAGCTCATTGGACTTATACATTTCATAATACATTTTGATATTTGGTGTGTGCATTTGGTACTGTTGAGTAGCCATTAGGTCATGAAGCTAAATCAGTTTGTTGGAGAGTTCACATTCAATATTAAATGAACATTAGGCCTATTAATTAACAGAACCATCCCTGTGGTCCCTGTTTGATAATGTGAGATGGGATTTTGTTATCATGTGAGAGTCCCCTTATGTCCCACCATGGAAAACCACATTGTTTTATGGGAAGTGGTATTCCCAGCACGTACAAGCAGCTCCACATGGTCAGATCAGAGAAGGTCATCCTCTGTTCTCTATAGTGGAGTTTTCAACCGGTCATCTGTGAGAAGACCTCAGCCGGCACTTTAGCTGACCCATGGGGAAGCAGCCGCCACAATTTATGGGAATATTTACGGAACATTTTCCTCCCAAAGGAGAAATCTGTCAGATTCAGCCTGGTGGTTTATTCAGCCGCTCCTCTTGGAATTGTCATCAACGTGTATGGCAGCTATTTTTGGGGAAGATGAATGTCCTTTGGAGAGTTAAATGAAACTTTGTGAAATGCACTTAAGAGAATTCGAAAAGCATGTCATGAGTGACTGACCTCTCTGTTTGGCTTTGGTTATTTTCTGGTTTGTTTGTGGTTAACTGAAAGTTAAGTACTGTAAACTTTCTGCATTTTGTCTGTAATATTGTGATTCCTAATCTTTGTAAACTCTAGCTGTATGCAGCCTGGAGCTGTTGTTTTGTTGTCATTGTTTTGTTTTAGTCTCTTGCTTTCTAAAAGTGGCTCCTTTACTTTGTTTTCAATCTCTGCTGTGGCCCGAAGAGATTATTTATCCTGAATCAGGCTAATATCTCAGCATGCTCTCTGTTCATTCCCCTAATCATCCTCTCTCTGATGGGAGCTGATGGGGGCTTTAGCCCATGATGTCTTGGCGTGTGGGGAGGGTTGGGGGCAGTTGCCATCGAAACAAACTCATTTCCTGCAGTCATGGGAATATGACCCCACCTAAAGCCCCTCTGCATGTGCTACAACTCATTTGGTTTTCTCTGTCTCTGGACATCTCAAAGGAGCGTCTTTTAAACCTTTTCCCTTCAGCTCAATAACTCAGACCTCTTCTGATTCAAATGAGTAAAAGTTTATCTGTAAGTTGAAGGCATAACAAAATGGAACCAACTTATCAGCATTTACAGACAGGAAGAGGTTTGAGTGTAAACACGTCTATTGGTTTGAGTTTAAAATGTTGCAGCACTGTGGGGGAATTTTTAACCTAGTAATGGGATCAGCTATTCATCACATTTTTTACTGTTCTCCTGAGGGCCGTATAGACAGAGTACATCAGAGTTATGAAAACACACAGACAAAAGGTGTTTTACTTCAGCTATACTTATTTTCAGCTCCAAATTTGGAAAGAATACTCTTTTTCTATAGCAACAATCGAGGATAATTGTGGCTGTTTATCTGTGTAGGAAATGCTTCTGCTTCTAATTTTGTCTTACTCACAGCTTTCACTAATATAGGTTTTATATAGTGTTTGCTTTGCCAGCTCTGTGCCCATGCTTGGTGCTCAAGAGGTTTCACTTCATTATCAGCCATCTAAACGGAACAGTTTATTTTTGGGAAAGGAAGTCTTGTTATTACATGCATCTGTTTAGGTGTTTGTGTTATGTGTTGTAAGCATTAAATTGATATTTTTATACAATACTGTTTAAAAGTTTGAGTTATTTTTTTAAAGAAATAAATACTTTTATATGAGAAGTTACAGTGAAAACATTTAAAATGTTACAAAAATCTATTTAAAATAAATGCTGTACATTGAACTTCCTGTTCATCAAAGAATCCTTTAATCTTGGTTTCCACAAAAAATATTAAGCAGCACAGCAGTTTTCAACAATGATAATAATAATACATGTTTCTTGAGCATTAAATCATCATACTAGAATGATTTCTGAAGCATTATATGACACTGATTTCAGTGAAAAATTTAGATTTGCCCTCAGAAATAATTTACATCTTAAAAATATTACAAATAGAAAACAGTTATTTTAAATTGTAATAACAGTTGACAGTATCACTATTTGACTTGCTTTGGTGGGCACAAGGGGCTTTCAAAAAAAAAACTTACCAACCCCAAACTTTTTTTTTTTTTTTTTTTTACAATATACAAACCAATTGGTTTTGATTTGACTTTTCATAGAATTCATAGAATTTTGCTTCTCTCTTTTTTTCTCAAGGTTGTCAGTGCAGCAGATGACGAAAATAAACTTTCGGTAAGCATGATCAGGAACCTTCAGCGCTCTCTTATCAGCATAATATACGTAATGATATATCAGAATGCATTTCTTCTTTTTTTCCCTATAGGCTAAACCCCGCCTCCAGAGAGGAGGAAGCTCCGCCTCCCTCCACAACACCCTCATGAGAAACAGCATCTTCCAGCTAATGATTCACACTCTCGGCACAAGGGGCTTTCAAAAAAAAAAACTTACCAACCCCAAACTTTTTTTAAAATTTTTTTTTACAATATACAAACCAGAATGCAAACAAGAAAACATATATCAATTCAACTTCCGCAACCCCAAACTTTTGAACGGTGGTGCATAGTTAAATTTAGTGACATTTTTAGAATTTATATTTTGTGTCATTTTATATATATATCTGATATATATATATGTATGCATTTTATAGATCTATACACAAAAGCAACCATAATCCTGTTTTTTTTTCTCCAGAGATTCGTAAGAGGAGGAAATCACTACGGAGAAAGTTTGACTCCTTCTCAAAAGAAAAGAAAGAGCGAGGTAAGAGATGTTTTTATTTCATTTTTCACATATCATTAGATCTCATGCAACCTGTGTGTAAATGGCTATAGAAAGGCAATAGTTTAAACATAGTAAAGTTTCACAAAATTAAATTTTCAAAAAACATAGTTGTCTTTGTAAACATTTTTTAATGAAATAAAATGAATAACTTGATCTTCCTCTGAAGTACCTTTCCATTTTTGCCAAGGTCCACTACCAGCCATGTAGCTGGCATTGTTTTATGGTACTGCATTAGTAAACTAGCCTGGCTCCATTCTACATGATTGTCACTTCTCAAGATAGATAAAATCAAGTTCCACTTCCACCCTTTGTTGAATATCCCATTTTACTTTTAAATAATGTCACATTATGGAAGTAAAATGGGTTGAGAGCGATGAATTGGATTGTCTTTAAATGCCCTGTGTTTGTCAGGCAGCATTCCTGAGCTCATGCAGTCTTGTAATCTTTGTTTAACAAACAACCAACAAGACATATATACTTAAATGTCAGGTCTTCAACTATTCTCTTTTAGATGATTTTAAACTACACACAAATGATAATGAAACTGCATTTCAAATTTCATCCAGATGTCCACTTATATATTTGTCAACTTATGTAACTCTGTCTTCATGACATTGTCATTGTTAAACCATTACTACTGTACTACTAATCGCCATTCTTTGGTGATGGTGGCGGACAGTGATGATGAACAGAGAATAGAGACTTATAAATGGCTGTTCGGTCAGTGGATCCTCTGACTCTGGTTGCCAGGGCTGCTTGGTGTGTCACAGTTCTTTTAAATCTCCCATAGGCCTTTAAGACATAAGGCTTTAAGTCTTTAAGACGCAAGACAATTTTACATCCCATGTAGCTTTGCTTCTTTGCAATCTGTGCATCCCTGTGAATGCATGTTTTCTATGTATTGTGTATTCATCTTTGTTTTGATCTTTTTGTAGGATCATTTTAGAGGCTAAAATACTAGCTATGACTCGCATACTGATACAATCTAAACAATTCTGAAACCATTCCTTCACACTATATAATGTGTAAACAGTAGAACCAGTTTGTGTGAGGATACTCAGCAAAGACTTCAAGGGGTCATATGATGTTGTTAAAAAGCCCTTTAAGAGTTGTATTGATTTAACTGTATTTTAGGGTTTTATTTACACATTTATTTTTGATGTAACTACACCGTTCAAAAGTTTAGGGATGGTACAATTTCTTATTGTTTTTGAAAAAAGTCTATTATGCTTACCAAGGCTGTATTTATTCAAACAAAAATATAGTAAAACAGTAATATTGTGAAAGTACAATTTAAAATCTATTTAAAAATTTTTTTTTAAAATTATTCCTGTGATGGCAAAGCTGAATTTTCAGCATCACGATCCTACAGAAATCATTCCAATATGCAGATTATAATATGCACATTTCTTATTATTATCAATGTTGAAAACAATGCTTAATCTTTTTGAGGAAACCATGATGCATTTTTTCAGGATTCTTTGATGCATATAAATTCCAAAAATACTTTACTCTTACTTTTAATCAATTTAATGCATCCTTACTGAATAAAAGTAGCAATTTCTTTCTACAAATAAATAATAATAATAAAAATCTACTGACCTCAAACTTTTGCTCAGTAGTATATGTTGAGAACACTATAATATTGGACACTTTATTTTGATGGTCCCTTTTGAGCATTCTGTCGACAATAAGTAACTTTGCACCAACATGTCAACAAACTCTCATTAGAGTATAAGTACTGTCTGATTAATATCTGCTAACTCTTTATTGTGATGGCATCCCAACATACATACTACTGACTATAAGTAACTTTACAAGTACATGTCAGCTTATTCTAACCCTAACCCTACCAGTCTACTAACACTCTACTAACACTCTAATGAGAGTTAGTAGATATGTAGGTTCAACGTTACTTATCGTCATCAGAATGTGTTAAAGGGACCATCAAAATAAAGTGAAACCAAATAGGGTGTTGTACACAGTCATTTAAATAATAATAAACTCATTAGTGCTGAATCAGTATTTAACTTTGCTCTAAGAGCTCAGACTGATCTCAGAGCGGCTCCGAAAGTTGCCGGAGCTAAAGCAGCACTGATTCCTGAGTCAGTTGGATTTGTTTGGCCATGTTCCTGGAGCTCGGCCAAACACCTGCCACCTGCAACCACAGTCTGCCGCTTGTTTCCAGCATGTGCGTCAGCTCGAGGTAGCAGGCGGGGAGGGCTGAATGAAGGACTGCAGGGGTGGATGGTGATAGGGTAGAGGGAGGAATTTATTTAAAGAGGACTCAATCCCCATATCCATCCAGCTTATCGGAGGACTAGCAGCTAGTGGACCAGACTAACCTGACCCGCCACTAGACCTTTAAGCCCTGGGGCAGAGATAGGAGAAAAGGAATTGTGAGGAGGGGAAGGAGGAGAGAGGATGACAAGACTGCTTTGCTTTTGTGTTGCTTTGACAGCCAAAACAGATTAGACGTAACCTCATGTAGTCCTGTTAGGGTGATAAAGATGCTATTTAAAAGTGTGCGTTTTACGTATACATCATGTCTTTGTTCCTCCCCATCTACATAAATAGTAGTTCAGTTACATTTAAGCTGCTTTAGAAGAATATGTTAAATAAAGCTTTCTTTGATGTAAAGCATGTAAGATCCAGTAGAAGAGTTTTTTAAGGTGCTAATACATCTCGTGTTTTAATTGAGCTAGTTCTGAAATCATTTAATTAAGTAAACCCTCTAAGAGGCTTACTTATACACAAGAGAGGCAAACTTGTAACAGTTGTTTATATATATTTTTGGTACTTTGTTTTTTAATGTATTTATTTATTTATTTTTGTTGTATGTATGTATGTATAGTGGTGTGAAAAAGTTTTTGCCCCCTTCCCGGGGTTTTTTTTTTTTTTTGCATATTGTGCTTAATCACAGTTCTTTCATGATTTAACAGAAGGAGACAATTAATTTTTCATGTAGGGCCAGATAGGTTTGGACAGCTTTTTTCCCTTAATAAATGAAATCATCATTTAAAAACTGTTTTGTATTTACTTGTGTTATAATATTAAAATTTGTTTGATGATCTGAATCTTTTAAGTGTGACAAATATGCAAAAAATTAAAAAAACAGGAAGGGGGCAAAAACCTTTTCACAGCACTGTATGTATGTATTTATTTATTTACATTTCCAAATAAGTTTAAGCAGTGTGTTGATGTGCCATATGTTGAACAGAGCTCTCTAGATTTAATCCCTGTGGGCAGATAAAGATGTTTTCCTCCTTTGCACAAGAAAAGCAAACAGAAGCTACACATGAGATCACTTACTGAACAGCACAGGAAGAGTGCACTGAGATACTGATCATATTAAAGCTGAAGATATGTCTGAAACATTATAGTCTTTATATGACACTTTCAAGTCATGTAAAAATTGACATCGTGATTTGTGGCCCATAGGTCTTAGAAGTGCAGTATCATTTACAATCTAAAAAACAAAAACAAGCCACAGGAGACAATCAAATATTCACTTAAAAAGAACAGTTCACGTAAAAATTCTGTCAATATTTACTCACTCTCAACCTGTATTCTGTCTTCTATCGCTAATTTGCCCTGTTTTGAAAAATCTGGCCCCAAGTCTCTTCATATTACAGGTGAATAGGGTAAAAAAAAAATAGATATCACTATACTTTCCCAGTTGATTAATTACAGTACATTTAGACAATTGTTAGTACAAATTTTATAATAAAACCGGGATGTTTAGTATATGTAAGTGTTATTGAAATATAGATTTCTGTAAGTGCAGGAGAAAAAAAACGCTTTTAAAGATATGTATTGTAATTTAAATCTACATACGCAAATAGATAAAGTGAAATAAAACAAACAATAAAATGTGTTTTTCTTTTTCACTAGTCTGAAAGAAGTCAAGTTAGGATGCAAAAGCTCAAAACTGACCTAAAAATAGGATAGGATAGGACTTGTGGGCTGATAATGAGTTTGAGGTTTTTGTGATGACATTTGACATTTTGAATGTTTGATATGTTTCACACACTCCCTTCCTGAAATGTGGTGTAAAACTAGTCCAAAAACAAATTTTAAAAGTTGACACGCACTGTATGTGACATATACGCTTTGGAAACTATGGACACTAAATATCAAAATCTATCTACATAATTCAAATGAATTAAATAGTCCATAAGCCTACTGTCAAAGTCATTTGTTTGCTAACTGTTTGGATTCTTCCACAGAGTCTGCGCCCAAAGCATTCGGTATCCCGCTCGCCCAGGTCATCGCAAACGACCGGGCATACAAGCAACGGCAGGATGCCCTGAAAGAGAGCCGACCGGACTGTCTGGACCTGGAGGCCAGTGTTCTTCACTTCCGTGCCGAGATATGGCAGCACAATGCAAACCGGCCGCTGGGCAATACAGCCTTATCACCTGATGCTGCCTCCTCACCAGCACTGGAGGCCCACAGCAAACCTCCCTCATCAGCGTTCATGGACAACACCTCACGCACACACAGACGGGTAAGTGCATATTATCTTTAAAACTATGCCAACATCCTCATCACAAAGTACTGTCTTCTGAAAGCTGTGGTATGTGTATTTAAGATAATTTTGGTCTTTTGATCTAGTAATCAGGAGCTGATTATTAAAACACAGATCCCAGGTCATGTTGAACTTCTAACCCAAAAACATCTGCAATTCATTACACATAACATCACATGCATAACGTTAGGCCTGACAGCTATACATGACAACACAGTTAAGTGTGGGCTATTGCTTTGAGAGATCGTTGCTGACATCTCATACGTGAGCAAACAAAAGAAGAGGGCACTATCCACGCAAATATAAATCAGAGCCAATAAAAACTCATTGCTATCACTAACCTGGCATAATTTAATTCAAAGAATTCCCCACGGTCAAGTGCTGATATGGTACATCGCACAGATAAACTCCTGGCTGAGGCTTCTAAACCAATTTGAGCAACAACAAAAAAAAAGGCAAAAGGAGATAATTCACTGAACTGATCTTATTTACTCTGTCAGGAATAAACTTGATTCAGAAATACAAAAAAAAGACAGAAATGCTGTATGGAGTATGGAGTCAAAAAATCAGTTATTCCTTGTTTTTTGTAAAATAGACATATACTCTGAAAATGGTAGCTAAGATGTTATAATGTACAAATTTAATTTCAAGAATTTTAATTAAAATTAAAATAAATAAAATATACAATTCTAATTCATTTTAATTATAATACTAAAATAAAAAATGTCATTAAAATGACCAGTCAATTAATTTATATTGTATCATTTTCTGATCATGCAGGCTGTGACACACTGTGAATGTGTGTAATGTTTAGCAAAGATTATTACTAGCATATGATCATTCAAAACCAAAATGTCTGTTTCTGCAAAAACTTTTTATACAGAATTTATTAACTTTGCAACACTGACACTGTCACTGAACAGAACTGAATCAACATTGAACTTAATTAAGCTGAATAATGACACTATTGTCTTCTGTAGAACTGCTCATAGCTGAAATTGAAGTGCTTTATACTTGAACTTTACAACATTTGCATTGTTATTTTCCAGTTTATTACTGTACAGATGCTTTAAAACAATCTCTATTGTATAAAGATTGCACTATATAAATAAATGTGACTCGACTTAAAGGCAGGGTATGTGATTTTTCAAAAACACTTTAGAAAACTGATTCGGGCCGAATAGCAAAATAAACTTGTAGCCAATCAGCAATAAGGGGCGTGTCTACTCGTGATGTGGAGGAGAGAGCTTTCCGTGCATGCGACGGACATTAGCCGAGCCGAGCGACAGAAAGATAGAGATGGCGGATAAAAAAACAAAAGAGGAAAACGTCTGCGGAACGACAAGGCAAGAAGTAGGACCCGTGTAAATATCGGATCAGCTTTCCAGAGCTGGAGAGAACTCAAGGAGCGGAGGCCTGCGATCGGACGCCGAGGTTGCTTTGTTTCTTCTCAATAGGTGAGTAACACAGTGTCTACAACAGCTAAAGTCTGCCTACACCGGACGCGATCAAACGACCGTTGAAAACCATTTGAAATGTATGTCAGCACGTCATAAATAGAACCCGGCAGCAGTTTTCTGTCGGGGATTTGTTGCACCGCCGCTCACGTCCGTAGACACGGTGTAACATTAGTTTTGCTTTGTTTCACAGAACTAATCGTTCCCTGGGTTGCGTATGTATATGTGGGGCGGAGCTATCAAAATAGGGGCAAGACCCTTTTGGGGTAGGGCCGTGTTTGTTTTGGTGATTTCAAATATCAACATTGGCTACCAGAAATCACTTACTCTGCCTTTAATTAAAAATATATGCTATGACCACTTAATTTGGTAAAGGTACAAGAACCCAGATATCAGAGTCAAGTGAAGACAATAAATAGGTACCTTTTAAAAAACAGAAAGTCATAAGATGAGCTAGGCAATACTTTGAACAGTATAGTATTCTTCACCACATTAATAATGGCTGTTTGTTATTATGGAGTCAGACAGCAGTAGCAGCAGTCAGCGTGGTTCAGGTTATTGTTTGATGCCGTATGGGTGATTTCCATACCTCTCTCAGTGTGACTGGAGACAACATCTCTATGGGTGGCTACATATCAGCAGGAGGGAATGAGATTTATGTCGGTGTCTTTGCCAAGTCAAACTCTTCATTCTCTCCACCCAAACATGGAGAGAGAAAGAGAACAGATTACTGGGTCATTCAGTCAACGTGTTGACATCTGAAAAGCTTTCATTGAAATCTGTTTACATTTCTTTTGTATACATAGCATAAATAGATTTATTGTGTTCAGATTTTTCCTCACTGGCTTTGAGCTCTTTTCTGACCAGTGTGAAAGTGTTTCAGGTGTTTATCCTTTTTAGTAATGAATTGTAATTGGAACAGGCTTTCACTGAAATTGATGTTGTCATTTTGACATTTATCGTACGCCGCAAACCTTCATTCATCTGTGACCATTGGCTATCCTATCTAAAATATATTTTGTGTCTCTTTCTCTCTGTCAGGGAGGGATGTCTGTGGACTCCATCTCTGATATGGTTGAGAGTCAGTCCAGACTACTTGAAGCTCTGCAGCTCTCTCACCCTAATGAGCTGGAGCTGAAAAAGGCTGCCGGTCACACACAGGCCAAACTCAGTCTCAATCCCATCTACAGACAAGTTCCCCGAGTGGTAGAGCGCTGCTGTAACCACATTGAGACCTACGGTGAGCTGCAAACCGCAATACAGCACATGTCCAGTCATTCATTTCAAAACTGGAAGGACAGGGAGTTGAATTGAAATTTGAAATGGATTGGTAGGCAAAAAATTGCAATTGAAAGAAGTCTGAAACGGTAGGGAACGTTTCTTATTATTTCCTCATTATTTTGCCATTCAGCACCACAAAATATCTAACACATTGTTTTCAGACAACTTTATATTGTTTTAGTGCCGTTTGGAAGTAAATTGGAGTGTTCAAGGAAAAGTGTTCTTTCACATTGGTCTATAAAATGAAAAATTATTTATTAAATATAATAAAATATACAAATTAAATTAAAAATTATATATGTGGCATTAGGCTACATACTATTAAACTAGAATATATATATTTTGTATAGAGTTGGAGCCCACTTCAACTTTTAGAACGTTTTATAAATTAAATAGGCTACATGTGCGGAATAAAAGTATGGACACCACAGATGTTTTTGCGGAGTAGGTGGTGGAATTTTCACAAATTTGGAATTGTGGAATTTTCACAAAGAAAACAGTGTAATTTAATGAATTGGTTCACATAAATACAGCGATCTGATCATTAAAGAGCTTGAAAAACACATTATTGTAAGACACATAATTTGTGTTTCGCTATAGAACTGATTTTGAAAGCTGAGACTTATATTAAAAGTAGGCCTACCAAAAGCACAAAGCTTATTGCTATTGGGTGGCTGGCGCACTACAAATAACGAATGCAATGGAAGACATTAAATATTATTTCCAAGCATACTGTCCCCGCGAGTATGACACATGGTATGATTTCTGCTAATAATCCCACATATATTTGTAGTGTATTAAAAAAGGGTTAAATAAGAGAGCTACAGTGCCCCCCAAAAGAATGTCGATTGGGTGTGTGAGGTGATGTTAAGATAAAGTTGTTCCTGTTCAGTCTGTTAATAAATATCATCGGTTATTCTTGATATTAAACTGTTTCCGCGAGTCCTTAAAATGGACTCTTCCTCATCCCAGTAAGATCTCGGACGCAACAATATTCAAATCAATTCCGGTAGCCTGGCAATTTCTCCCGGTGCTCTCAATCCGGGTCATTTGCATGCACATTAAAGGCTATACTCTCAAAATATTATAACTTTAATTTCTACGATTTAAATTCTCGAAACATTTCGACTTTATTCTCAAAACATTTTGACTTTATTCTCATAATATTTCGACTGTATTCTTGTAGTATTTCGACTTTATTCTCGAAACATTTCGACTTTATTCTCGTAATTTCGACTTTATTCTCGAAATATTACGACTTTAATCTCGTAATCTTAGATTTTAAATTTTTTTAACGTGGCACTAAAACGCCGTCGTACATCAGTATGCTTGTATGCAAGAAATCTTTGTTACAAAAACAAAAACCATTTTCCAGAAAAACCTAGTTTAGATATTTACATTAGGTTTTTGCCTATTTGTGACAGCAAAACTAGACACTGCCCTTAAAAGTTTGGTCTAAAATTACATTCATATATACATACATACATATATTTAAAAAAAAGAAAAAAATAATCCCTTTGGGCTTTTGTGTAAACCAACAAGCCATTATCGTGTAACTGACAGTGCCAGATTTAATAATGGCGATACTAAACAAAATATATGACAGCCCCACCACAAAAGACTGTCACAAATGGTGCAATCAAATGTTTAAAATCAAATCAAAATTCGGACCAGTTTTTAAATTGGTGTTGTGATTAGATCTCAGGTAATAAGATGACGGCAGCAAACCTGGCAGTGATCTTTGGGCCCAATCTCCTTCAGAAAGAGAGAGGATCAGAGAGAGAGCTCAGCCCTCAAGCTCTGGGCATAGAAGACAGCACTGCTGTCATCTCCGTCACCCTGATGCTCATCCAGAACCACCAACATCTCTTCACGGTGAGAGCTGCGGAATGATAGACACTAGAGAGTGAAAACCATTCAATGAAAAGGTCATTTAAAAAAATGTAAAATGATATTCCAAACACTTAAGACTTTCTTTTGTCTATATGGAGCACAAAAGGAGAAATGTTGAACCTTGTTTCTCTGCTCTTTTCCATGCTATGGAGACTGAAGCTTTCACATTTAAAAGGCCACCAGCACACAATTTCTTATTTTGTGTTCCGTGTAAGAAAGTCATGTGTGTAAATGGGGAAAGAATTTTCATTTCTGAATAAACTAGTTATTTTGGGGGGGAAAAAACAATGGATAAAATCTTAGGCCTGCATATGATACATACACTCTAAAAAATGCTGGGTTACTACCCAGAAGGTTGGGTTAAACATTTAACCCAACCGCTGGGTCAAAACAGCCCAATTGCTGGGTTTGTCCCTATTTTACCCAGCACTGGGTTGTATTTAACCCAGCATTTTTTAGAGTGTATATTATAACTTTGTATGCACAGAGCTTGAAAGATGACTTTGTTAAATTCTTTCCATTAAGTATTCATATTCTAATAGATTCATATTCTAATTTCATCTGCAGGTGTCTGCTGAGCTGCAGCAGGAGGTGCTCATGAGCCTCATTCAGACGGACCCTGATGTCATTGACTATCTGCTGCGCAGGAAACTCAGGTCGGCTTTCTGACTGATAATACTCATCTAATACAAGAATCATATATAACGAATATGTGGGAATATGGGATTTTATTTGAAAAGTGAGACACTCAGATTTTCTCCAAAGGTGATTTTTTTCTTCAATTGTAACTTTTAAAGACACAAGATTGTTACGTAATTGCCATCGGTGTGCATTATTTTTGTTTAACAGTGGAATTCTTTGTGGAAAAACCATATTACCCTTGATTCTACAAATCTCCACCAGTTGGACAAGCAAAACACTTCAAAATAGCTTCTTCGTGCCCACCCACTCCCATGAAACACTGCACTTATAAAGTTGTTGAATACTGTTTCCAAGTCCAAGCCTCCACTATCTCGACAGCTGTTTATGAGCACAATTCATTTATAGCACAGCTTTGAAATAAGCTTTTAAAAAGTCATGGCACTACAATCTCAGGATCACGGCTTCCCGGACACCAATATTTTTATGATTCATAAAAGATGAACCAACGTCTAACCAAATTACATTTTGTTATGGGGATAAAGTTTAGGATCATGATTTTGTGGTAAGCATATATATATATGCATAAATATTTGTTAGGCATATACTATATACATATGCATATTTTACAATGAATGTAAAATATACGGTTTCAATAATGTAATTTAACCTTAAGAATTTTAGATACAATTGCATTCTTTATCTTTGTCTATTCAAAGACACTTTAAAAAGGGTTATGTTTACATGTTTAATGGGTTAATTACCCTAAATTAAAGGCTGCCATTTTAACCACATGTTTAATGTGCCTGATTACAGAGGCGAAACCACAATAATTGCTACTGTCCAAACACTAATATGCATCTCTCCATTGTGACAGCAGTAGTAGCAGCCTGACCATGGAGACGGACTCCGGTGGAAGGAGGGACACACAGGCATCTCTGCACTCTGTGGGTCAGTCCAGTGATGACCTTTCATCCCTGGAGCCACTGTGTCCTCTTTACCCAGAGACATCTGCGATAGGAAGTCTGAGCAGTGAGGTCTTCCTCAATGTTCTTCATCTTAACACCAACAGGAAACGTGAGTAGTACAGCATTCTTCACAATGACGCAGTAGTTAGACTAGTAATAATATATATTACCTGCTTTTTAGAGATGTAATTATGTAATTATATCTCCTCTACGATTTGAAAATTTTGAGGTCGATAAGATGTTTTATGCTTTTATGCTCACTGAGGCTGCATTTCTTTGATGGAATAACAGTGATACTGTGAAATATTACAATTTAAAATAGACGTTTTTTAATTTGATTATATTTAACGTAATTTATTCCTGTGAATTTTCAGCAGGCCTTATTCCAGTCTTCAGTGTCACATGATCCTTCAGAAATCATTCTTATATACTGATTTGGTGCTCAAGAAGCATTCTTTTTATCACTGCCAAATGCCAATGTTGAAAACAGCTATGTTGCTTAAAGGGTTAGTTCACCCAAAAATTAAAATTCTGTCATTAATTACGCACCCTCAGGTCATTCCAAACCTCTAAGACCTTCGTTCATCTTCTGAACACAAATGAAGATTTTTTGATGAAATTCGAGAGCTTTCTGACCCTCCATAGACAGCAATGGGAATTACCATGTTCAAGTCCCAAAACGTAGTAAGGACAGCATTAAAAATGGTCCATGTGACATCAGTGGTTCAAACTTAAAGGGGTCAACGGATGCAAAATTCACTTTTACATGTTGTTTGAACATAAATTTGTGTTGGCAATGTTTGTACACATCCACCCTATAATGATAAAAATCAACTCAGTGTTTTTTTAAAATTCCTATAAATATCCCTTCTCAAATCAAGCCGTTCTCAGCTTCTTGGCTGTGTGATGTCACACAGACCCAGGCCCCTCCCACGATTGTTGATTGACACTAGCGTTTTACCTTGGACCCGCCCTGAGTGAGCTGTCATCAGTCCACCATTGTTTCACCGCCGGAGCAGGGGTAGACAAGAATGTCTCCTTAGAGACTGAGGTGTTTTGTTGTTGGATGTAATAATGAACATAGCAGTCATCATTTACTCTTGACATCTGAGCCGCTGAAGACACAGTGGATTACTTTTGTTTTTGAAGGGAATGCGCCCTTTTTTTTCAGGATTCTTTGATGAATAGAACCAAAAGAACACCATTTATTTGAAATAGAAACCTTTTGTAGCATTATAAATGCCTTTACTGTCACTTTCAATTATCAATTCACGGCAACGTGTAAATATGTGTAAATAAATGCAACCTTTTATTATATGTATATTCCGTACATGTGTGTGTGTCTACAACAGGTTCCTCTGAGGTCCCACCCAAATCCATTGGTAAAATGAGACAGTTTCATTCCCACCACAACCTGATGAGTCTGTCCCAGTCCTCCTCATATGCCCAGAGTGAAGAGCGAGCGCTCCAGCAGCAGAGGCAAGGCAGTTCAAGGCACACATGCTCAGAGGAGCGCCTACATTTCAGTCTGGGACGGCAGGACAGCGGTTCTCAACCACAGAGTCCTAGAGAGAGAGGCATCTGGGTACGACAGAGCTCCAACGCCTCGTCCACGACGTCAGACGACAGCAAACCGCCAAGCAACTTCTGGGACTTTTTCACTGGCAAGGTGTCAGGCTCAGAGACTATAGTTTGACTCCTAGGTGAACAGTTGTAGTGTGGGGGTTGAGTGTGGACCCGTAAAATTGTAGAGAGAGAACTGGCAGTAGATACACACACAGAAATAATGTATCTGTGGACGCTATACTGTTTATATAATATAATCTTAAATAACCCCACTCCTCTAGAACAAGACGGTTTTTCAGAACACATTAGATTATCAAAAGAATCATTATAAACCTGCCAGAACAGTGTATTTTATCAAGATACAGACCTGTGACTATAGAATGTAAATATAGCATAGGCTGTTATAAACCTCTCTAAATAGAAAGCAGCTTTTATATATACATGAATCCTCAACATGAACTCAGCGGGCACTGAAAATGTCAAAATAGTCCACATTTCAAAGGCTGAAATCTCTTATATTTGTTTACATTAGCATTGAAGCTTTCTGAAGTTCCCCATCTGGCTATTTTTATGATATAGTGGCAGCTGGCTGAGGCTTGGTCTTTACCATTACAGAATCTTTTACATATAGTAACGCATTATATTTTTTAAATAAAGTGTTTATATTACATTTTGGTAGCTTTGAGTTCTTTTTATCTGGACTAAATGAATTTGTACCCTTAAATGTTGTACATGTTGCTTTTCAGATACCTGTTGTCAGAAGAAGCCCTTCGCTGCAAAACTTCTTCAACGACCATTCACAGTCTGAAAAAAATTAAGTGAAATGGAAGATGTTTTTGGAAGAATAAGATATTTTGATAACTTGGAGTACATGCTCTGAACTCATGACATCCCTGAGCCACAAGGGGGTGATATTTACTGGTGTCAACATTACATTGACATTAAAGTTGAAGTTAAATAGATCCTGTCTAAATATTTGAATTACCTCTATAAATGCTGGACTCTGTTGGGATTGGTTAAAAAGCAGGATTTCCTTCAATAAGAATTAAACTATTCAGAGAGAGCACTGCCATTTCTAGTGGCAGAAAGTACAAAATATCTATTGATTGAGTTGGAGCCAGGCCTTCTTTGAGCACAAGCTGAAGATCAAGGTAGTTTCTCTACTCCTCATTTCCAATACATCATTTTTTGACTTTATTTTTATCATGATTTTAAATAATCTTCAAAGTATGTAATCATTTTAAACGTGCATTCAGTACTACTTTGTCTAGCATTAGCTAAGCTTCACTACTTTTAATACTGATAATGTTACCACAATGGTGTTACACAATGCACTGCCATTTATCAATGTGGATCACCATGATCGTCTCGACGATACAAGTGAGTTTTACAGAGCGCTCTACATAATTATTCATTCCCTTATCTGCCCAACAAAAGAGAAGCAACTTGGGCATCACTACTCAGGATTATTTCCATCATCAAATCTTTCCACCTTCTGAATGCCGTAACGCTGTTGATGCTTGTTTATTCGTTGTCGGTCTTGTCTCTTCTCTTAAAGCACGTTAATAAATGTGTTCCGTTCTCAAATTTCGCTCTTTGCATCACTAAACAACACTACGCTATTAGAGTAACTACAGAGGCGGGAGCCAATGAGGCTGATGATTCTGTCCGGGATACAGCTTTTGCAAAATTTCGCCATAAAAACAATACATTACCTTTTGCTACTGGACCCTGTCAGATTGTTTGCTACCTTGTTATTGTGTGTGTTATTGCGTTTTAAAATGAAAATTAGCTTGTTTTACTCACCCTCGAGGCATCCTAGGTATATATGACTTTCTTCTTTCAGACGAATCTAGTCGGAGTTATATAAAAAATTGTCCTGGCTATTCCAAGCTCTATCATTGCAGTCAGCGGGTGTTGCAGTTGAACAGTCCACAAGTCGTCAAATAAAGTGTGCGCATCCATAATAAAACATGTCACAGACGGCTCCGGGGGGTGAATAAAGGCCCCCTCTAGCGAATCCATGTGTTTTTGTAAGAAAAATATCCATATTTCAAACGTAATAAACACTTTTCTCTCATTTCCGGTTTCTGTCATACCCGCGTATGCAGTTCCGGCGGATGACGTAGGACGTCGGCGTTGCGTGATTAGTGACGAAAGCGGAGAGAGAACAAAACTCCGGTCACGAATTAGAAGTACAAACCGAGGATTTGCAAAGAAAAATGTCGGAGGATTTTGATATAAACCAAGAGGAGACTGGTTTTCCTTTGCTAAAGTAAGGAAACTTTGCTTCCTTTGCCCCTATAAACAAACTCGCAAGACTAGCATATCTCAGAGGCGCGCGCTGCGTATACGTGCTGCGTCATCCGCCGGAACGCCTTCAGTATGACAGATAACAGAAGTGAGAGAAAAGGGACTTGGCTTCCTTTGCTCCTATAAACAAACTCACGAGACTAGCACATCTCAGAGGCATGCACGCTGCACATACGGCTTCCGCGTATGACAGATACCGGACGTGAGAGAAAAGTGTTTATTACGTTTGAAATATGGATATTTTTCTTACAAAAACGCATGGATTCACTACAGGAGGCCTTTATTCACCCCCCCGGAGCCGTGTGAGGCACGTTTTGTTATGGATGCGCGCGCTTTATTTGACGACTTGTGGACTGTTCAACTGCAACACCCGCTGATGCAATGATAGAGCTTGGAATAGCCAGGACAATTTTTTATATAATTCCGACTGGATTCGTCTTAAAGAAGAAAGCATATACACCTAGGATGCCTCGAGGGTGAGTAAAACAGTCTAATTTTCATTTTTGGGTGAACTAGCCCTTTAAGGTCTACACCTACCCCAACCCTAAACCAAACTACAATAATGCAAATACAGTAATTAATTGTTAAAAAATGACGCAATATTGATGTGCACATGTCCAGTAAGCCCAACTGGTGCTAGCTGTACCCCCTCCTTTAATTTTTTTTTTTTTGAGAAAAGGTTGTCTTATGTGCATGTACAGCATTAGAATGACCACAAACAAACACTCACACACGCAACAGTTTTTAAATTAACATCAAACTACTGAATGACGTTTTCAGTCTCTAAACAGTGAAGCATGAACGTTACTAAACAGGACCAGAATGTTTTTTACTTGGTGTTTGCAAATTATATTTTTGTGAAAATTTACCTTCTAGAAAGTTGTTCCATGATGGCACAAGTTATGATTGCTGCAAACCACATGGGTGTTGCCCAGTTTCTTGACATCATAAAGAATCAGAGACCATATGAACCCCCTGGAAATGGTTGATGTGTTTTTGTTTGTTTTTATTTGGGACAGGGTGATCCAGTCCCATCTTTCATCCACGCTGTCCACTCCACTCCAAACCCAGATTATTTACCTGGATTACAATTTGTACATTGCTTTATCGAAAGTGCACTTTTTTTCAAGCCCAGTATGGAATAAACATTATTACAATGTTATGGGAAGGGGCGGATGAAACACAACTAACGTTAGCATGACGTAGCATTAGCTTGCGTTTGTCTCATGTTTTGATATATTTTATGTCTGTCTGCTAATGCCAAAACACTCAGGGTGCCGTTACTGTGATCAGTGCATTAACGGATTCTCAAGATTGCAGCATTAATCTGGTAATTCCAACATTATCACCCTTACATTTTTGTTTCAACTCTCTCTTCACATAACATACAACAGACCTGGTGTTCAAATAAGGAACAAATTAGCAAATGTATAAAAATGAGAATGTCAAAGAAAAGTTAATATAACATGTATAATTACACATAAATAAAATCATGAAATAAAAGAGCCCAAATAAAAGAAGCCTGTAACTATTAGAACACAAGCCAATTTCAAAAATAAAATATCCAGTTAACTCAGCTTGGACAAGCCTTAATTCAACTGTGATGATGACAACACATCTACAAACACTCTTACATAGCATGTGTAAATGTGTAATTTTCTTCACATAACATAAAACAGACCTGGTGTTCAAATAAGGAACAAATTAGCAAATGTATAAAAATGAGAATGTCAAAGAAAAGCTAATATAACATGTATAATTACACATAAATAAAATCATGAAATAAAAGAGCCCAAATAAAAGAAGCCTGTAACTATTAGAACACAAGCCAATTTCAAAAATAAAATATCCAGTTAACTCAGCTTGGACAAGCCTTAATTCAACTGTGATGATGACAACACATCTACAAACACTCTTACATAGCATGTGTAAATGTGTAATTTACATGGCATGGCACCATATGTCAGTTTATTTCAACATATAGCTCAGTCTACTTAAGACACTCAATGCCAGCAGGTTAACTGACCAGCGAGAAGCTTAAACCTCTTTACAGACATTGTGATGTCTTGTTTGTAAGACCTTTATACATGCTTTATAACAATGTCAAGAGTTGTTATACCACACATGCATTGATACCAAGTAGACTTTACAGGATGAATGGAATAATAATCAGCAGCACTGTCAGTTTTGACCCCTCACAGATTAAAGCACATTTTTGTCAAACCAACAATCAAATAAAACCAGTGTAGTTTACAAAGGAAAACTGAAATGAAAAAAAAAAAACGACCACCTTTTCCATTTTTGTCAAAACTATTGGGTTGGGAGAGAAGTAGATTAGGACAACAGGCTAGTCAACTGTGTGTTTGAACCTCTTTCAAGCAAAACTGGAATATTTTACTGCGGTACCTCGCTATCATGTGCTTTTCGCCTTACAAGACCTCAATACCTAATCTTGTTGGGTGTGTGTGTGTTTTTTTTTGCATATAAATCTTGACTAATTGTAGGGTGGTCTAGTCGTCTTGTAAATATTTACTAGCTATGAGTGAACTGGGAGAAGTGGCTCATCCTTCTGGCCATGCAACATCACAAACTAGAAACAATCCTTTACTGAGTCCCCTTAACCAATCTAACTATTACTAAGCCAAGTCACAGCTTAAACCCGACATTTACAGACAGATCTAAGACTGCACTTCAGCATTGGCTGTGCTTCACTTCCCATCTAGGTCTATACTGAGTTCAAACGTTATTAATTAAAGGCAGAGTAAGTGATTTCTGGTAGCCAATGTTGATATTTGAAATCACCAAAAGGCAGAGGAGACGATAGAGATCTAGAGAAGAGTTACTGAGATTAAACAGAATAGATGCAGCCAATTCAATCGGCTTAATTAATCAGGAGACTTTATAATGGAGTGCAGAGCCACATTATGTTTGAATTATCCAACATTTCTACTGTTTAATGGCTAAACTGAATGAGTCCACATTCATTTCAGACAATCTCACAGTGCCACAGTGTTAATGAAACATGACTGGAAATGTGTGCAGCTTTTGGTTTCAATACGATAGGCATTTATGAGCTTTAACTTATATTCAGAATAATATAAAGCCCTAATTTCTATCTCCATCTGTTACGCTTTACATTTAGTGCACTATTAAGTGTGCACTATATGACACAATCAAGCTGTACACTCACTTGCAGTGCACAAGAACTGGCAGAATGTTTTACATTCATTGAATACTGAAAGAGCATTCTTAAGCCAAGCTACATCCGTAATACAAGCACTACTCTGGTATCCACAATCCTCTCTGCTTAAAAGAGCAGAGCACCCATCAATCCACAGGCCCTACATGAAATCACTTGTCAAGTTCTCGACACAAAATATGCTCATCCCCTTTAAGCCAATTTAAACCTGGTCAGGTTTATCCATTCAGGTGGAGCAGCTCTACTACAATGGCAACATGAGCTACTGGTTCTGCATACAACACATTTATAACTAGCTGGTTAACGTGGATGTAGCATGATGTGTCACGCTTGACACTGCAGATGAACATCTGAGGGTGAAGAACCGCCGTGCGGCTTTCTGGACTGATCGTGACATTGTGCCAAAACACAAATCATGACACACCACCCAGCGAATGTAAAGTGAACCAGATTATCTAAATGAACCTTGTTACTGTGTGTGGTGGGGAAAAAAAAGTTTGTACAGTGTCCATTCTCAGGCCATCAAGATGTATGTGTAGCTAATTTCACATGTGTATATGTGCGTTTTTGTGTGTGCTGAGCAACACAAAGCAGGCGAGTGAGACGACGGCGAACCAGACGGCGATTACTTCTGCCTGGTGATTACCGTGCTGTGTCCAGGTCACTCTGGCATCAACTGCTCCTGTCTGGGGCCTGACTGATGCTCTGGTGCAAGCTCCACTGATAAGCCTGGATGAAAAGGGACTTGACTGAGAGGGGATGGAGCAGGGAACCGAGCTATGTCAGCAAAGCCCACGCCTCCCTATCTGCCTGATCCTGTCTCTCACAAATCACACCCTCCCATTCTGTCAGTCACTCTTGCCGGCTCAGTCTCTAGACTGGTAGAAGAGTATATACCCTGACTCAGAGTTTTTGGAGATGTCCGATGTCAGACCGTAGAATTCCTCGATCGCTTGGGCGTCTATTTTCTGTGGGGACCAAAAAGAGAAAGAGATACATAACTGGATATAAAGGAAAATGTATTTAAACTGGTGTGCTAATTTCTGACTTCCTTTATGCATGAAAACAAACCTCATTGGTTCTTGCGGAAGCTTAAACATGCTTGCATGACAAATAAGCACATTTGTGCTTCAGTTTATCATATTTTATGTGCACTATGTAGGTGCATTAATCAATGTTTATAAGTGAATAAAAGCCTAAATTAAATCTGTTAATCATATAAAGTGAT